TAAAAATTACTCTTTAAAAATAAGTAAAATTCCAATCAACTCTAAAATTCTTCTAATTTGGTGGGTGGTAGTAGTGCATGCTTTTAAACCCAGCACTCAGGAGGCAGAGGTAGATGAATCCCTCAGTTCAAGGCCAGCCTGATCTACAAAGTGAGTTCCAGGACAGCCAGGACTACAGAAATAAATCCTGTCTCAAAAAAACAAAAAAAAATAGTAAATGAGCTAGTTGCCTTAGTCATTGTTTGGTTGCGGTGAAGGGACACCATGACTAAAGCAACTCTTACAAAGGAAACATTTAACTGGGCCTGGCTTACAGCTTTGGAGGGTTAGCCCTTTACCAGTGTGGCAAGAAACATGGTGCAGCAGACAGAAAGACATGGTTCTGAAGAAGGATCTGAGAGTTCTACAAGACCCATAGGCAGCAGGAAGAGAGGGAGAGACACTGGGCCTGGCATGAGCATTTGAAATCCCAAAGTCTACCCCACAGTGACACACTTCCTCCAATAAGGCCATACTTCTTAATCCCTGTCAAGTAGACCAAGCATTCAAATATTTGAACATATAGGGGCCATCCTTATTAATACCACCACACTAATGTATTCAAAACATTAGCAATGTATAATGTTTGCACATGCTATTTTCTCAACAAATATGAGCCAGTATTATTATGATTACTAATGGCTTATTAGCATTCAATGACTATTACTAGTCAATTGCTTATGCTAGGTCTAGCTGGAAATTCTGGATGGAAAGAAAAGTTTTTTATATGGACAGTACAAAATAAAATCTATTTTTCAACCTCTGCATGTAGTCAGTCTCATCTCTTCCAACTGACCCCATATGGTTATAGCCTGCACAATTGTGCTATGTACTCACATACTGATCTGCTTAATTCACATACACTCATGCACATATGTATGTGATTTAGGCCAATTTTTTGTGTCAGGAAAACATTAATTTAGCAGACCGGAGGCACTTTCATCTACAGTGCCTTTCAACTGTAGAAGGTATCTACACCATTGTCCCACATACAGCTGACAGATAATAATTAATGATGGACAGGGAGTTTGTATCCCCCCATGATTGGTTAGTCATAACAAGACAGAGGGAATAATTTTAGCATCGTATTTGAATCCTATCTGACAGCTTGGAAACTAATAACTCAAACCTATGTGGGCAATTAAAGAAATACTTTGTATTGTTGTATGACATGAAATCATACCTAGCTGTCATTACTCTGTGATTGTCACTAAGAAGGTCAGCATGGACTTCCTTATTTCCTTGATCTTCTAAGTCTCTTTGTTACAACCTTTGCACAGCAATATTTATTTTAATTAGGAAGAGATGAAATAAGCCAGGGTAAATTACGATAGGCATGTTCAGTAAAAAGTAAAAATTTTGCATAAAAAGATCTCATATCAGTGGCAAAAATGGCTTAAAGGGCCAGGCACGGTAGTGTAGAACTTTAATTCCAGCATCAAGGAGACAGAAGCAGGTGGTTCCCTGTTAGTTCAAGGCCACCAGTCAACATCACACAGTGAGACACTGTCTCAAAATAAAATTCTATTAACACCTACAACTTTTCTTGTCCAGGAATTTACTTACTGGGATAAGCTCACAAATTCCCATGACCCATCCTAGCACAGTTAGGTAAGTTTCCCTCTCACCAGAGATCAAGTGTAGAAGACACCATCTCTCAGATGAGTAGATCCTATGCCACTAGGATCCCATGGTGCCATCTTGCACACTGCCTAATTCCTACAGATTCAATCGTGATTTATATTAACAGGTAAGGAACATATTACTTCTTCTAGCTTTGAGACTATAAACATAGATTTAGATACTAAGACCCTGGTTGGAATTTGTTAGCCAGGAGTTGAAGCGCTCACACGTGATGAGGATGGCGACGATGACAGGTTGCTTAAATACCCCCGGGATGACGCATGGCTTCTATCAGACACCTTTATACATGCTTAGCACATTACTGTCTTAACTCTCAAAATGACTGTGAGAAGTTAGTGCTATTACATATATAGCAGTAGACCACACCATTATTAACACTGAAGACTAGGACTGCAACCCTAATCTGCCAGAATCCAGAACCCACGGATAATATTCATTATGTATCTCAGGAAAACTATTTGTGTGTGTGTGATCCATTGTTAACACTTGCGGTAGTTAATTTTTATCATCAGCTTCATTGGGTGGAGAGACGCCTAGGAGATTAGTCAAACACACTTCTGGGTGTATCTGTGAAGATGAATGGCATGTGGGACAGCGGGTTAGGGGGAAAGACCCAACCTCAGTATAGACAGCGTCACTTCATTGGCTGAGTGTCTGGATGAAGACACGTGGAGGGAGGAAGGCAGCCAGAGCGTGCAGAGGCCACTTTTCCTGCATGGGTGTACTTAGTGCAGATGCTGGTGGCTGTGCACAGCTGGAAAAAACCCTATGTTTAGGAGTTCAAATATAAAGGTAATTAAATTTAATCTCACAAAGCACTGGGAAAATACACACATAGCTTGTTTGTATTTTTGCCTTGGGAACAGCTGCTTCAATTGCCATCCCTAAAGCTAAGGATCTAGGAATGCACAGTATGGTGTACCCTTGGCTCTTCAAATGTTACCTCTTCAGACGCTTTCCCTGACCAACCTGAGTATACCGTGGCCTAATAAGCCTTATGATCCTATTAGAAAAACCAGAAAATGTCTTCTGGAATGGTACAGAAAAGGGGGGAAATGGGCTTGGGAGGACACACAGTTTTTAATACCAAGCTCTGGTGGTACAGTAGGGAAGTACATACAGACCACAAGTAAACAAATAGGCATGAATCTCCATAAATCGTTATTTAAAAATATCAGTATAGATTTATTAATAGGCTAAAATTTGATACTCACTATTCTAATACATTGCTCCGTGTGTTTCGTTTTTAGCAATTAACAAACTTCAAAATTATCCCGCTGCTGCTGCTAGTGGTGGCGATGATGGTGATAAATACTGTCTACTCCCTCCTCCACTAAAAGGCAGCTAGCTCTATGGGAGGAGAGTCATATTGCTAGCACAGCTCACACTCCAAACAGACAGACAGCTGACTTTAAATATCTGATGATGAAGTAACCACTATTTCACAAGTAAAAACCAGAAGTTTCCACAGAACATATGAAATATCCTTGGCATTGTTGATAAGCAATGACATACTATTTTTCACTTGTAAGACAACCATCTGGAGCAGGGTGAGGTGAAGGAGTGCCTACCACTGTAGATGGGAGTATTGGCAAACTGGTTATGTCATCAGTGATTGACAGGAGAGAAAACTGGTGTCATTTCCAGAGGGCCATTTGCCATCATCTATTAAAGCAAACATACCAGTTCAAAAATGGGCAATGGATTGGAGAGCAATTTCCCTGGAGAAGATATACAGATGGCTTACAGATACATGAGGAAATGCTCAACATCAGTCATCATTATAGAAATACTTATCAAATAACCAGAAAGTGCTTCACACTCATCAAGATGACTAGTGAGAAAAAAAAGAGGAAAAGTGACATGTGCTGATGAGATTGTAGGGAAATTAGAACCCTGAGTATTGTCTGCACATATCTAAAGTTGCATATATGTTGGGGGAAACAAACAAACAGTTTGGGAGCTCCTTAAGTAGGTTAGCATAGAATTACCATGCAATTAAGTCATTCTACTCCTAAATATACCTCCCACCCATTGAAGCCAGGACTCAAACACACACACCCAATGTAATACAAAACAATGCAAATAAAATCAAAAGAAATGAAATACTGGCATGTACTACACTGTGAATAACTTTAGAACATTGTGCTAAATTAAGTAAGCCACACACAAAGAGGCAAGTATGACACAGTTCCAGTTAGGCAACTGGATAGGCAAATTGGGACACTGAAAGCAGAAATAAGGTCATCAGGAGCTGGGGAGATGATGACGAGGAATAGGGATTAATTATTCATAAGTAGAATTGCTGCTTGGAGTAGTGAAGCAGTTTTCAAAGTGGGTGAAAGTAATAGACACACACATTTGAACTTATCAGTTGTCCAGTACATCAAATGGCTAACTATAGACTTTATAGTATGTTTATTTATATATGCACATATGAATATACACATACCCTAAGATCCATCATAAGTGATAAGTGTTTGGTTATATAAATGGTGCTTGGTGAGCAAATGTATGGGACTATTCTAAGGCACTAAATATGACACAGTAGACTTTTCACATACAAAAACTTCTCTATGGCATTATTGGTTGTCTTAGTTAGGGTTTCTATTGCTGTGAGGAGACACCATGACCACGGCAACTCTTATAAAGGAAACAGTTAATTGAGGCTGGCTTACTGTTCAGCAGTTTAGTCCATTATCATCATGGTGGGAAGTATGGTGGCAGGCAGGCAGACATGGTACTGGAGAAGGAATTGCAAGTTCTATATCCAGATCCAGAGGCAGCAGGAAGTGATAGCCACACTGGGTGTGGCTTGAATATCTGAGTCCTCAAAGCCCAGACCAGGGACCATTTTCTCCAGCAAAGCCACATCTCCTCCAATAAGGGCACACCTTCTAATAGCGCCAATTTCCATTGACCTATGGGGGTCATTTTCTTCTTATCCACCACATTGACCAATGAAACAGCAAGTTTCATGATGCATGTAAAGTTGATCCAACTGATGTAAAAATTCTAAATTTGTGTATACATGGAGAAAATTCTAGATATTCTCCAAATGTTAAAGGGATTTTCATGGCATGGTGGCTATGAAGTGATTTATTTGAAATTCTCTTTATAATTTTTTGCACCAGCTGAAGTTTTCTAGGGAAGAATACTTTTAACCAAAGTAATGTGTTATTATAAATACTTTCTCATGTGAATTAAAGAAGCAGGGTCCTCTGAACCTGCAGTTGGATACATGCTATGTCTCTGTTAACACAGCAAAGAGGATATCAGTGAATGATCTCAGACAATCTCAGAGGAGAGGCACATACCTCAGTCAGTGGTATGAGCTCTTCATCCTTGGAAAACAGAGCCATTATTTCAGAACAGCATTCGAGGATCATGTTCTAGAAAGAAAAATATAACAGGACGATTCTGGTGTTACTGGGAAAGTAGGCCACAATGATTATTATTTTTGTCTTATTTGATGTCACTCAACCCTTATTTCCAAGCTGTGAAAGAGAGAATAGGAAGTCATTTGCTCAAATTATCTAGTTTACTTGAGAGCATACAAGGTGGATAAAATAAGACCTGTGCTTAATCATGAGTGTCTGTTGCTATAGTGTCCGTTTCCTCTGGACATTCACTGTTAAAATGCATAGACTGCGGAGAAATGACAAGTACAATAGTTCACACCAAAGGAAGGTTTGGAGAAATTACTTTTCCACTGAGGAGAAATCCTCAGGATAACGAGATTCAGATCTCAGGGGCTGGAGGTGGGGAGTTTAAGAAGAAAAGACTAGGTGGCAGCTGGGAACAAAATGGAAAGAGTCGTGAGAGAAGTCACAGGGAAGAGGCCACAGTGTATGGACATTATCTGCTGATGGCTTAGTATGGCCTGACTGTAGCGACACAGTCGTCTTTGTGTGTTGACATCTGGCCTCAGATGACCCCTCCATGGGTAGGGTTGACACAACCAGACTCCCTACCATCGAAACTTCATGGAGAAAAGAAAACACTACTAGAGCCAGTATTGACCATGTGAGCTGCAAGGTAAGATGTGGAGTTGGAGAAGGCAGGCCCTGGGTTAGTGATGCGAGCTGAAGAAGAGGCAGGAGTGAGAGAGTGTTTGTGTCCCCCATCGGGTCTGAATGCAGCTTTGGCTTTCCACTCTCCAGTTCTGCTTCCCCCAGGCTCGCTGTGCTGTGTCTGGTCATCAGCTGCACACAGGCTAACTATGCACTCTAAAATGTTTCTGCCTTTTCCTTCCAAGCCCGTTTTATTGAACAAGTGTCCTTTTCCTTTCTTTACCACTAAAGGGGTTAGAACCACGGGATGGAACTATGGGCAGGGGAACGGGCCCAGTGGTTAAGCACTTGCTCCTCCAGAGGACCTGGGCTCAGTTCCAGTACACACATGGTGGCTCCGAATCCCAGGAGCGCTGGTTCCCCCTTCTGATTTTCACAGGCCCTAGGTAGCTGGGCATGCATGTATTGTGCAGACATGTGCAGGCAAAACACTTACACACATAAACAACAATCTTTTAAAGGATATTCAGAGCTAAGCTCTGCCCACCTCAAAATGTTGCCAATGCCTAGCTCTGAAGAAGGCAACATTACTAAACATATGCACTGGCCATCAAAAAATAGTAAAATGATTAAAATACATTAATTTTTAATCATAGCTGAGCAATGCTGGTTAAAATCTTCAAACAAAAATCAACTGATAATAGACCTCGGAATTCTAAACCACGTTTTAATAGTTTTAATAAATGCATATGCACAGAAATGATCCAATTAGAGCTAAAATATTACAGCTAATTCTTAAACTTAACAAATGTATTCAAGACATTTGTCTGGGTGCTGTGGGGTAGAGAGGTGAGGGAACAGACCCTAGTCTCACAGAATATGTTTTAGTGGAAAAAAAGGATGCACAATAAAATAAATTGGCAAATACTATCTGATCAGAACACATGTAGTTATGACTTAGGGTAGGATCCTAGGATTGGGAGAGCAATTCTTAGTGAAATGAGTAATGAGGACTTACTAGAAGAGAGTTGGTGTGACCTGTGCCCTGACTGAGGAGAAGGGCAGTTTACCAGTGTCTGCACCACTGAGGAATATGGTTCCCCCCTCTGTGGGAACTATTAACTGCCTATATCTCTTCAGGGAGGGGAGGGGAATCATAAGTCCCTCCCCCCTCCATGACAGAATGTTACTGGGCCTGTCTTGTAAAGGTCTTGTGCAGGTAGCCACTGCTGTTTAGAGTTCATGGGTTTAACAGCCATGTCACATCAAGGAGACTGCTTTTCATGGCCCTCCCCCTCATCCTCCAGTCCTTTCCTCCTTCTGCTCCCTCCCATCCTGCTTCTGTGACATTCATGGAGTCTTGGAAAGGGTGATACAGATGTCCCACTCAACCCAGAGTCCTCATAGTCACTTGTTCTCAGCACTTTCACCAATTATCCCCTCCCATGTTCATGTAGACAACACTAATTAAATACAGCAAGTCACAAAGGAAAACAGCATGGAAGTGGGAGGGGCTTTATTGAGAAGAAGGCTGTGTCAGTGGGAGGAGAAAAGAGATGATAGGAAAATGGGGGAAGGCTAAGAACCTGAGCAATAGAGGAGAGGCTGCCTTAAATGCCCTTCCCCTATAATGAGATTGATGACTTCCTCATATGCCATCCTACAGCCTTCACCCAGTAGCTGGTGGAAGCAGAAGCAGAGATTCAAGCTAAGCACTGAGCCAAACTCCTGGAATCCAGTTGTAGAGAGGGAGGAGTGATGAGCAAAGGTGTCAAGACCATGCTGGGAAAACCCACAGAAACAGCTGACCTGAGCAAGTGGGAACTTATACGGAACCTGCATGAGACAGAACCAGGCCCCCTGAACGAACATGGGTGTCAGTTGGGAGGCCAGGGAAGTCTATGGGGTCTTGGACAGTGAGACCAGTATTTATCCCTAGTGCACAGACTTTGGGAGTCAATTCCCTTTCTTTCAGCCTAGATACACAGGGGAGGGCCTAGATCCTGCCCCAAAAGATATGACAGACTTTGATGATCCCCCGTGGGAGAAATCACCCTCCGTGGGGAATGGATGGGGGATTGGTGGGCGCATCGGAGGACGGAAGGGAGAGGAAACTGAGATTGATATATAAAATCAGATTGTTTTTTATTTAAATAAAAAAGAAAGAAACATGGGAGAGGGACAATGAGAGGACATTACACATGTTATGTGGAAATTATATTAACATATAATTGTATGCGACTACATTAAGATACAATGAAATCAGGAAAGGATGAGGTTACAAAATAAAGACAAACAACTAAAAAGGAGAAGAATTTGAACGGGTTTGGAACAGATGCAGAGGTGGGGGTGGGGTGGGGTACTTGAGCCACTAGCGGTGGGCACTCAAGGGACACGAGGACTTGATGTGGACTTTTCTGCAGCGGGTGTGGGAGTATGAGAGCTGACAAAGAGGCTGCTTATTACAAACAGCTCACACAAAAGTAAGGGATGTGAGTTTAAACTGCAGGAAATTAGCTAGGAGGAGAATAATGGTGCAGATTGCACCAGTAGTGTAATTCTGACCGCTGTTGAAAGGTAAGCTGGCTTGGGAAGCAGCCAGGGGAAAAACAATCAGATAGAAGGCTGTTCACACCATCTGAGCTTTAGGCAGGCTTCATAAGGCTAGAAAAGATGAAGGGAGGGCGGGCAGGAGGCCCAGCATTGATCACTACGCCCTCTGGGTTCTGGCCCACATTTCCATACAGAGGGGAGCGCACAGCTACACCTGCACTACTTTATTACTCGTACTTCTCACTGACTTCTTGACTTGTTTTTAGAAGGGGGTTCAGTAACAGTCATGATAGGTTACTGCCAGGATCTCATCAAGAGCCATCAAGCAAAATGGCTTGGTCTGTACCATTCGTCATCCCGGTGACAGATGAAGGGAGCCGTGTTCCCTGATAGATGCCTTCTACTGCCTGTGTCAACATCTATCAAACAGGAATTTTGCTCAGCGATGCTGTGTTGCTTTGGCTGTGAAGCAAACCACATATACACAGTGTGGAATTGGTCGATGTTGAGGCCAGACCTCTGGGCACCTCACATGAGCTTGCCACCACAGACTCAGGAAAGGGCTAAGCTCAGCATCCCTAGAAACATGCTGCTTCCCTGTGATAAGGGTCAGAGAGAGGTGAAGTGACCCCTAGCGAGGCTTTGCCCTTTTCCCTCCAAAGAAAACCCTTTGAATTCTACCAGACTTGGTGGGCCACTGAGCAACTCCAACATACTAAAACCAATTGTCACACTTAGTTGGAATCCTCATCTTTGACCCATACTGAGAGAAATGCTTCCCGCCTTCAAATTCCTGCTCCCTCTACTCTCACCACCATGATTATCACGTAGTAGGGTGAGATGCCCTTTCAAGTGGCATGCACCCTGTCCAATTTCCCCAAACTCAGGCTGACTTCCCCAAGGCCCTTTCCTACATAGCTAAGTCCATTCAACACTTACTAGTCGCCCTCTGTGGGCTGCCCACTACAGGCCATGCAGAGGAGCAGGAATCAGAGATGAACAAGACATTTCACCTCAGGAGCTCTCAGTCCAGGGAGGGGGGGCAGGGAGATGGCCTTCTCCGCTCTGTGTGGCAAGGTCAGAGTGAGAACTCTTAGCTCCATGCTGCTCTCTAGATTCATCTACACCCTTGCGCAATGCTCTGCCCCATATAGCTTAGAGTTCCCTAAGTGTTGGCCAATAACTTTCTAGAGAATGCTAAAACCAACGTGTATTTTTTTAGTCAGGCTTCTGTCGCCACAGTACTTCTATATTTTCAATATTATGCTAAATTTAACCCATGTATACAGCTCACATGAATATTTGCTGAAGTAACATTGTTCATTTGGCAAACATATAGTGGATTTCTTATATCAGCATATTCTCACTCCAAATAAGGTGTTTACATCTTAAAATCAGCATGGTTTGCAGACATCTTTCCTATTTTTTGTTCCTTTGTTTGTTGATTTGTTTTGTTGAGACAGAAGCTCATGGAGCTCAGGTTATCCTTAACTAACTATGTAGGTGAGGAGGAAGACCTTGAACTCGTGATCCTCTTACCTTTGCTTCCCAAGTACAAGCTTATAGTCATGGGCCATTGCAACCAGTTTTTTTTTTTTTTGGTTTTTTGAGACAGGGTTTCTCTGTGGCTTTGGAGGCTGTCCTGGAACTCGCTTGGTAGTCCAGGCTGGTCTCGAACTCACAGAGATCCGCCTGCCTCTGCCTCCCGAGTGCTGCAACCAGTTTTATGATGTGCTGGAGAATGAACTCAAGGCTTCACTCATGATAGGCAAACACTCGGGTAACTGAGCTACAACTGAGTCCTTTCCTATGCTGCAATATTACCATTCTGCATGCTGTAAGTGGTGGAGCAATAGAAGTCAGCCATTCAGAACCATTGCTCCTTTAAGAAGTGGCCTGAACACCTGCTGTGTAGCCTCCATAATCTATCTTAAATTAACATCTGTGCTCCAAGGTCCCTGGTTTATTCTGTATCTGAGGGACTTTGGAAAAGGAAACAATGAAAGAAAATAGGAAGAACCTCAGAAAAAACACAGGGAGTCAGAATGATCAAAACCCACATCCCATATAGCAACCAAAGGCACTTGGTTCATATCCTTACATTCAATAAACTACCAACAATATACAATATGTAATAGAAATATCACATTATAAAAGCCATGACTTCCTGTTCAATTCTAGACCAGAATTGATCTCTTCAAGTGTCCTAGTTAGCTTCTAAATAGCTCGAAGTGGGAATTGCCATGACAAATTTACTCAAAGAGATTTGATATGGATGAGAATCTAGCTTTTTTTACAGTAAATATGTTACTTCCATTTCCTATCATTGCTATGAACTAATTCACCTGCCAATTCAATTCAATTCCTTCTATTTGGTGATGTTCTTTCACATACAGAACCAACATGAACTGGAACATGCCTAAAACACACTTTAATGCTAAGGAAATACTAAGTGAGGGAAATAAATTAAAAAATACAGAGGAGTATATCAAGATTGATGAGGACTGGTTCCTATCTGGTTGATCCCAATGCAGCAACTCAGAACATGAGAGCAAGTTACAGGCCTTCACTAAGGAAAGGCAGGTCCTCTGGGTTCCTCTTCCACCCCCACATCCCTATTTATTCTTGATTTGTTTATGTTCACAGTCAACCTCCTGACTCAGAAATTTGTCTTCTTAGGATGAATTTTACACCTACGCTGACCATGGTCACCCTGGAAACTCTGGTTCTATCCAAACAGCCTGTCTTTGTGTGAAAGAATTATTTATTTTAGAGATGAAAAGAAAATTAGTCCTGGAAAAAAGATTAAGCATCTGACCAGAGTGGCAGTACAGTCTAGAGTCCTTACTCTCATTATAGACGTTTTCCTGCCTCAGACAATCAAAGCTAAAAGACAGGCATACTTGTAAGAAAATTATTTTCCATATATTAACTGTGGAGAAAAGTACAAGGAATAATTTAAGCAGAGAATATTCTAGACGGTGTCTCATAGATAGCACTCTATAAGTTTGTGACTAAAGAACTGATTGTAAGTGCACTACAAAGATGAGCATGAGTCAAGAGAGCCGAGTACTTGAAAGCAGACATGAGAGGGCAATATGCTCTTCATGAAAGAAATGCATAATCGGTATCTCTCCATCGAATCTCCTGAGTCTGAGATCCTGGGAGCTCTCTGACCTATTGCAAGATTTAATGCCACACTCAGTTTATCAGTACACATAGTGAGCATGCTAACATCGGAGGCCATTGAAAAGGATGCACAGCTAGAATTCTAAGACATCTGCTCATTGTAAATCCTGGCAGAGAGTGCAGAGGACTTAAATGCTGGAGAGTGGACTTTTACAAAGGTTATCTGGCCTGATAGAGTCTCTTACATAGGGGCTGCTAACTTGCATAATAATAGAAAACACTTTTAGTCATTTTGCTAGTAAATTGAGACTTAAAACACCAAGAAATATCCTTTGAAAATCAGAAATGTTGCTAGTTTTTACACATTCACCTATTAAAAGTGTATAGATGTGTTAAGTAAGAAAACTAAGAGTCATGCAAATATTATTCTTTAAGAATCAACAATGGTATGGATTGTAAGCTGGTAATCTTTTGCTCTATGTCTAAAATATATGAGTGAGTACATACCATGTTTAGGAAACAAGGAGGATCCTAAGAGAGACATATATGGTTCCCCGGAGAAGGGGAAAAGGACAAGATCTCCTGAGCAAATTGGGAGCATGGGGAGGAGGAGGAGAGAGGGTGTTAAGAGAAGGAGAAGAGAAGGGGAGAGGAGGACATGAGGGAGCAGGGAGATTGAATCAGGGGAAGAATAGAGAAGAACAAGAAAAGAGATACCATAATAGAGGGAGCCATTATAGGTTTAAAGAGAAATCTAGCACTAGGGAAATGTCCAGAGATGACAAGGATGACAGCAACTAACAATCTAAGCAATAGAGGAGAGGCTATCTTAAATGCCCTTCTCTGATAATGAGGTTGACGACTACTTATCTGTCATCCTAGAGCCTTCATCCAGTAGCTGACAGAAGCAGAGGCAGAGATCCTCAGCCAAGCACTGAGCTGAACTCTGGAACCCAGTTGCAGAGAGGGAGGAGCGATGATCAAAGGGGTCAAGACCAGGATGGAGAAACCCACAGAAACAGCTGACCTGAACAAGGGGGGCTCATGGATCCCATACTGGTAGCTGGGAAACCAACATAGGACAGTTTCAGATCCCCTGAATGTGGATGTTAGTAGTTTGGATGTCTGGGCAATCTATGGGGCTTATGGTAGTGGATCACTATTTATCCCTAGTACATGAATGGACGTTGGGAGCTCATTCCACATAGAGGGATACTCTCTCAGCCTAGACACACAGGGCAGGGTCTAGGCCCTGCTCCAAATGATGTGACAGACTTTGAAGATCCCCTATGGAAGTCCTTACCCTCCTTGGGGAGTAGAAAGGGGATGGAATAAGGGGTTGTGAAGGGCAGGGGAGGAGGAGAGGGAGAGCAAACTGGGATTGGCATGTAAAAAAAGTTTATTTCTAATTTAAATTGAAAAGAATACAATTAAGAAAATACAAAAATAAATAAAATATACTTAAAAATGTAAAACAAAACTAAAAAAGAGTCAACAATGTTTTATTATTGGTAACTGATTACATATTCATCTGGCCAAATTACTTAAGAAAACAAAAGTTCTAATTGAAGAAAAGATCTCAGATTGGCATAGCCTCAACCCACAGAGCAGCAGGGGAGGGCCAGAACCAGTCATACCAGCTGGCTCTGAGAACAGCATGATTGAAATGACAGCAGGAGGATGAGGAAGAAAATAAGACTGGGATAGTATGTGATCAGTTTGAGTTCTTGAGTTAAAATCTATGGATGAACACCTGAAAATCCAGATGTAACAAGTGGGAAACAGTGAAGGATACAAAAAAAATTAGTCATGAGAAACCAAACATAAAGAATAGATTGTAACCAAAGGTCTTTCCCCAGCCTTTAACACTTTTTACAGGGCCATAAAAATATAAACACTAGGTATGATTTCCAATACATGTAGTAATATGACAGTATTCAGAAGGGAAGGAAAGGGCAGGAATTTTGAAGGAGAAGGTGATAAATTTGCCAAACCATAAAATATCCAAATAGAAAATCAATAGGGTCTAAACTTAACACAAGAAAACAAAAAATGATTCCTGACTGCATTTGGTAATATTCTGGATTTCCTACTTCCTAGCTGGTCATGAGGTTACTGACACTGATAGCATGAGACCTATTTAACCAACAAAATGTTAGTGTATATGGCATGATGAAAATGTGAAAGACAGATGTGTGGTCTGTCCCCTTTCTTTCCTCACAGGAGGTATGTTGGGCCAGAGTTGAGAAGATAGCATGGTTGGTAAAGTATTTGCCTTAAAACCTGAGTGTGAGCCCTGGTAAAAATAAAAATATAAGAGTCAAGCATGGTGGAACATTCTGGTAATTCCAGTGCTTGGGAGGTAGAAACAGGACTATCCCTGGGGCTCATTGGCCATCCAGTCTAGTCTAATAGGTGAGTTCCAAGTTCAGTAAAATACCTTGCCATGAAAAACAAGGTGGCCAGCATTTTGAAGAATGACACTTGAGAGTAACCTGTGGCTTCCACATGCATGCACATGCATATGCACATAAAAGAGTTAGGCCATATCTGGTAGCATAAGAAAATTGAAGGTCAGAGAATCATGAAGTTCAAGATTAGTGACATAGTCCTGCTCTAACAAAGTAAACAGTAACTTAAATGAGGTGTAATGAGATCTGCCCTACAATTGAAACTTCATTTTGCCATCATTTAGCAATGTACTTACTTCCATGTCTGTATCAACTGATTTATCTTCAGATTCCACTGATTCATATAAATTTTCATCTGAAGCAGCAACTTCAGGAACCGATGGTAATGATAGCTCAGCAATTTGTGCAAGATTAGACAGTTTCTCATGAATTGAGATGACTCTAAAAATAGCAAACACATTTAAATGCATTTTATTTGAAAAGTCAAGAGGGGCATTGGTTTTAGAATCAATAAGATTTAGGAATTCAGTCTTTATTTATTTAAAAGTTAAGTGTCTGAATGCCCCAAATATCATCTATTCAATCATTCCTTCATTCAACAAACATGAGGAAAGAAACACAGTCACAATGTTTATGTCTACTTATGCACTGGGGTTGATATACATTACAACAGGGTGAGGGCACAATGATAGGAAAATACCCATCCGGATTATTCTGAAAATGAAAATATATTTATATGAGAAAGGAAACTCCATTCAATCAACAGAAAATTCACTCTTATGTTGATTTTAAGGGCATGTTATGGATGTCCAGATGACTCAAGGTAAAAACTGAAAAATCAGTAAGAACTTGAAAGGCCAATCAATGATTGCACACTCCAGAGGTGTGTGTATCTGAGCGTGTGTGTGTGCGTGCGTGCGTGTGTGTGTATGTGTGTGTGTGTGTGTGTGTGTGTGTGTCTATGTACTTGTGTTGGGGAGGGGTTGTTAGGGGCAGAGAAATAAAAACAAGAGCCAAAGAGGAGGCAGAAGGGACCACGATGCCTTCTTTAAGTAAATATTCAGAATAAATCACTCTTATAAGAGTGACCCAGTACCCAACAAAGTGTGCTGGGCTTTGCACATTCCTATACTGTTGCTCAACCACAAGCACTTGACACCTCTCTAGGTTTTCACCTGAAAAAGAAATCCTGATGGCTACCTTTGGCTCAGTTCCCCAGACAGTGCCTGCCCAAAAGCATGTCCCTCTTCTTTCTTCAGCCAGCCCTGGCTTCACTCTTACTTACTCTTCACCTCTCTGTCCCCAAGGCCAATGTCCAGTCCAGCTTGTGGATGTCCTGCCTTGAGCCTACAGGCACATATCCACCATCCTGTCTCGGCTACGAGAGCTGCCCAAGGTCCTGTTCTCCCTAATGCCTGGGCACTCTCCTAGTCTGCCAGCGATTGGAGGAAAGGCCCCACCGAGAAACAGATTAAGATGAAAGATGAGGACACGCAGGGAGAGTGAACAGAGAACCTGATTCTGGTCACAAAGGTGTAATGGCCTCTTAGAACTAACAGGGACTTTTATTTGCAGATTTCTGAGAACACCGGATGTTTTTCTGTGGCTGTAAAGAAAACAATTAAAACGTGTCTTTCCCCAGGAGATGAGGAGGTGAACAAGGATAGGAGAGGTCTCTCTGTCTGTTTTCTCTACGGCAGAAACTCTCACTTTGTCTTCAATGGGGGAACAAGTGGTGACATTTAACAGAACACAACCCAGCCCGAGTGAGACCAATTGTCCTGGGTCATTAGAGAGCCCATCCCCTGAGATGAGCTCAATATCAATAACAAGGGCTTGTCTCTGTCTGAGTGGTTTAATGTTGACTGTACATGTGGCAATTTTAAAAGAATTTTAATTGTAAATTAAATTAAATTTAATTAGAATTTTAAAAGAAACCTCTCATTGGTGCCTTTCTACTCGGTAGGTTTTATCTTTATGTTGATCTTGTGGTTCTGGAAAAGAAAAATTAGACACCTGGAGTGTTTCAGGTTTTACAGGGTAAATGCAAATGTCCTGATTTTGTTGCTGTGTATGTTGGTATATGAGCTGTGCTTAGGTGTCCCACCACTTTGATTTAAAGGGAAAAGAGGCAAAAGGGTGTGGGAAGAATATTGACTAAATAATTGGAGGTCTGCCAGCTCTTGAGATAGCTCTTGTTTTATTCTCTTTCATGAGAAGGCCAAGCCGTCTTGAGATCTGAAAATCACAGAGCAAGAACAGGACTCTGGGGAAACAGGCAGACACAGTGAGTCTCCATTCACACAACTTTCACCAGATGCCTGGTGGGCAGGAAGCCAGTGCCAGCACATGCCTGTATAAATGGACATTTTTCTGTCCTGACCTCCTGGTCCCAAATAGCCTACTTGAGGCTGATTGTGACTAGCTCAGGCTTGTAACTAGCTAACTCTTACACTTAACCTGTATTTTGATTCATGCTTTTCCGTGTGGCTCATGGCTTGTTACCACATTTTTTACTCATCTTACTTGCTCAGGAATCTCCCTAACTGTCCCCCTTCTTTATCCCAGTATCCTCACTTTGTTGTCCCGCCTAACTATCCTGCCTTGCTATAGGCTGACCAGCTTCTTTATTAACCAATGAGAGTAATGCATATCCATAGTGTACAGAAAGAATTATTCCACAGCACACTTGTGCTGTCAGCCTCCCAATTCCTGTTCATCAGTCATCAGACTTGAGGCTGACAACCGCCAGAGAGCTAGGCATGGTGAGGCTATCAACCCTCTCTTACGACAGGAGAAATGGAGGCTGAAGGTGCAGGGCCGTGGGCAATGAAGTCGAAGCTGAACTAGCTGAGTTAAAACATCTAACAACAAAAAGTTAAAGACACTTCCCTGCTTGGTGGAAAGAGAGGAATAAGGCTGGCTGGAGGATTTAATTTGGGGAACAATATAAAACATGGTTGGGTACAGAGGGAAAGGAGACAAAGGAGATGGTGGGGTTTGAATTTAATTTGCAACCTCATAGAGAAACAACCCTACCCACTCCACCCCACCCCTGCCATTTTTAAGCCTAAATTAATTGGATTGCTCGGGGAATATTTAGGGTTTTTTTTTTTAGCTTTTCCTAGATCCTAATTCTCTGTCTAGCATGTAGATGTGAAAGAGTTTCCTTGTCTATAGGCTGTCTTTTCATTCTGGCAACTGTCTCCATTGCTATGCAAACGCTTAATTTTATACAATGTCACTCTCCAGTTTTTGATGCTATTCGCTGAATGACTAGAGTCTTTTTCAGAAAGCCCTTGCTGCTGCCCACACACAGAAGAGCTTCCGCTGGTTTCCTCTGATAGCTTTGGAGTTCATCAGGTTTGAATCCTTTAGATGGGATGAGAGATGTGAACCTACTTTCACTCTTCTTCATGCAAGTACCAAATTTTCCCAGTACTACTTGTTGAAGACTGCCTTGTCTCATCTCTGCCAAAACTCAGGTGACGATAGCTGCCTTGGTTTAATTCTAGGTCCTTTCTTATCCCATTGTTCCCATGTCTGTGTCAGCACCACACTGTAGCTCTCATGGCTCTACAGTATGACTTGAAATCTGGTGTTGTGTCAACTTCTAGCATTGATCTTTTGCTAAAAGTGCTTATCAGTTCCAAGGTTCTCCTGAAGTCTCTAGGGTCTCCTCTGCACAAGATCATATTGTTTACAGACAAGATAATTTAACTTATTTTCGTATTTGCATCCCTTGTGTTTCCTTCTCTTGTCTTATCGCTGTAGTTCAGAGACCAACACTCATCCTTGTTGATTTTACTGGGAAAGCATTGAGTGTTTTTCCCCCATTTAGTATAGTATTGGCTGTAAGTTTGTAGAAGATAACCTTTATTATGTTGACTTACGTTCCTAGATTCTTCAACGTTTTTATTTTGAACAGCAAAATGGCAGGTACCCAGAGAGTTTGCTTCTGCGTCTGTGAACCTCTATTCACCAAAGTAGGTTTATGAAGCAGTCTGAGCAGTCAGAAGCTACATGTGCCACATCTGTATGATGGACTTACATTAACTGAATGGGCAAACGTTTGCCCTTTCCCTTCTGACAAGGTGTCATTTCACTAGATGTAGAAAAGGCAAGTGTGAACTATGGAATATTTTACTCATCAGCCATGACAGAACCTCTCCTGTGTCTCTGAAACCTCTAAGAAGGGACCCCATGGGGGCCTCAATACTCCTCGAGCCCCCATCCATCTTTCCTTGGAGCTAATAACTCCCCAAAGAATTCCTTACTTCAAAGGATAATTTGTCTTGGTGTCCATCTCAAGCCCTTAAACCTCAGACCTTACAAAAAGTGCAATGCAAATGTTCTGGTGCTAGGTCCTGGGCCCCTGCAGCTGGACTCATCTGTATGGCAGCAAAGCACTGCCCAGCTGAGGATGAGCCTCCTCCAGACCCCAAGCTTTCCCACTCTGTCTTCTGGGAATTCCTTTCTTTCTTTACTGTTCAGACTGATGTCTTTTCCATTGTCTTCCCTGGCTGGATTCCTGAGAATGGTGTCTACTTACCTGTTCAGTGGAATCCAGGAGGTGCCGACACACAAGTTGTTACCAGTAGGCACTTTAATATCAGAGATCTTCACAGGCTTCAAGTTGTATGCATACAATAATAAAACCTAAAGAAAAATAATACATATAAAAACAGATGCCCAAACTATACCTGAAAATCCCATTATTCCTTATAGAAAAGACTGTCATATTTTAAAGAGCTTTTCTGTAGAAAAGGAATAATTGAATTTTTTCCCCTGTCAATTCTCTTTGAAGAGAAATATCAGATGTATAAAGCTAATTTGGCTATGGCAACACATTCTTGGAATCCCAGAATGTGGGAAGCAGAGGCACATGTATTGAGAGTTCAAGTCAGTCTAGACTACATAGCAAGTTCAAAAAACAACACAACATGAAAATCAGTGCTATTTTGAGTAATGTTTTACCCTGCAGTTATATTTAAGTTTCAGCATTTACAGGTCCTCTGCAATAAACACAGGTACCTGGTGGGAATACACTCTGTTTCCCGTTACTTCTCAATAGACGCACCTTCCCAGACAATTGGGTCACCCACTCCCATACACCCACTTACATTGTTTTCCTCCTCTATTCTCCCTTTACTTCAACTCCACACAGCTTCATAGGCCTAGTTAAAAGAAGGGGTTCTCTTGGTGGCTCATGTCCCAGTAATTTCCCCGTTGCTTGGATTTGGATAATTCTTAGCATCAACTCCAAGCACTGTAACCTCTTTAACAGCTTTGGATTCACAGAATATGAGACGCACAGACCCTCCCTTCACTGTAGAGATTAGAAGCTCGGAGCTGACCATCAACACTGACCAGTCAGGCCCATGGACAAATCTCTGCTTCCATGCAAGTCAAAGTGGAGACTAAAAGGATATCTTTAAGCTATAATTCCGCAAAGACAAAAAGGAAAGGGAGTGAAAGAGATGGGATTTGACAGCACTTTGAAGAACAGAGAGCATTTGGAAGAATCAGAAGAGAGGGAAGGTTGTACCCCAGCGTCTTCAAAGGGATTGCCAGCATTAAGCTTGACCTAGAGTGGGGAAGCTCCAAGCACCTGACAAGGGGATTGCAAATAGAAGTGTGAGAATAGCTCTCACCAGGTCCCCTCCTTGCTCAAATGGAGCGATTTAACATTTCCCGTGACACTGCTCCTGGGTGAAGCCTCCCCACTCTGCTATGCCAATGTTAAGTCAGATCTTCTGTAGCCATGGCTTTAGCTGCAGAAACTAGGTTCTGGGGAAAAGTTGGAATTAATGTATTATGAATGTCAGATAGCCATGCACTCGACCACAGGAGTATATTTGCATATCCTCTTTGGAATCACTGGCCAGCTGAAGAGGGAAGACTCACAGAGGCTGGCATTTCAGCACTCACCGATGAACTGCTGGCTCTCCCTCCAGTTATCCTGTAATGAAGCCTACACGTCGGTAAGCCTGGCACCAGGGTCTTCAGTGCTTCTCCACACATAATCAGAAAGCCAGAGGTCCACCAGAAAGGAAGTGAATGGCAAAAGCCAAAACTAACAGAAGAAAGGATCAGACATAAGACAGAACAGCAGAAACTATCAGTGGCCACAACAAACCTTCAGAGGGAGAGGTGACAAGTCTGTGAAAAAAGATGAAGAGATGGCATGGCGTGTCTGTGAAGGAGGAACACAGGGCTGCTTAAGTGAACACAGAGAGGACAAAGCTACACTGTCACAGATAAACCAGCAGTGAGACCTTTGAAGTACAAAGATGAATCTGCCCACGCCCAAAAGAAAATCCCAAATTCAAATCATAGATAACAGGGAAAAATGATTTAAAAAAAGTAGACTTTGAACACATAGACTCTGAATAACAGAAATTTGAGAATATACAGAGATAGCCAGAGGGAAGACTCTGATAAAGATGAAATATCTATGGACTGAAAATGGATGTACCAGGTTGGAAGGAGAGTTGTCAGTATCAAGCAAAATGGATGAGAGATGATACCCAGATGTGCCATAGAGGTTCATCACATGTGGGACAGGAGAAAGATCCCAGCGCTTTCAGAGTCACATAAAAGACCTAACATCCCATTGGGTATACATCCAAAGGGAAGAAAATCAGTCAATCAAAGTGATAGCTGTACTCTGGTGTGTAGCATAGCACCATTATCAACAACTAAGATGTGGGATCAACCTATGTCCATCAACACATGAATGCATAGGTAAGACACATTCAGGATAGAACACTGTAAAGACTTGAAAATGAAATCCTGAAATTTGGGATGTGAGGAAAGCTAGAAGACAGAATGTGAAGTAAAATAAGGCAGGCACAGAAACACAAACACTGCATGGACTCACTAACGTGGAATAAAACAGGGATCTCATAGAAGTGCCAGTAAGTGGTGTTCATCTGGAGGTCTGGGAGAGAGTTCACAGATGTTGGTTAAAGAGTGTATAATCAGTTAGGTAAGAAGATACTTTGTAAGCACGTGAGTGCGTGCGTGCGTAAGCACGTGTGTGTGTGTGTGTGTGTGTGCGTGTGTTTAGAATAAGCAAACATAGAGACAGAAATTAAATAAGTACCTGGGGTATTGGAAAGGGAGAGTAGTAGGAGGGAGAGGTATAGAGAGAACAGACCAGTATAAATATATATACTTACATATACATGTGTATGTGTCAGGAATGTATATTAATAAAGCATTTAAATTAAAATGTAAGCAAGAGAGTCTAAGTGCAAGTTGACAGCAGTTTCTGTAACCCACTGAAGTACAGTGTGATAATAAAATCTTGTAACAACCATTCTAAAAATAGAAAGGGATGAGGGCACAAAGAGAGGAGAGAGCAGAGGAGAATGGAATCATTTCTCAATAGCAATGTAAGCTTGCCAGAGACAGCAAATGAATGCTTCCCAGGTGCTAAATTATGTATTTTATGTGAGATGTGGCAAAATATTTTTTAAAAGATGATGAAATCTCCCTGAGAGATTTAGTCAAGGCCACATGTTGTCTTATGCTGTTTCCCCTTGCTTTGTAAGTGTTGTCCTTGACTCCAGGAGTGTAATTTAAGATTGTGAGGACAGAAAACATTAACTTGCATTTTTGAGCAAATTTTTTCAGTACTTATCCAGTTAATATCATCATGTCTCTTGACTTTCCATCATGTCTGTTAGGGGTCAATGAAGTTCCCTGTGGTGGTTTGAAAGAAAATGGTTCCCAAAGAGAGTGGCACTAATGGGAGGTGTGGCCTTGTTGGCGTAGGTAGAGTGCCTTATTGGAGGAAGTGTGTCACTGTGGGGTGAGGGAGGGCACTCACACTTTGAGGTCTCCTATGCTTAAGCTACACCAGGTGAGACAGACTACTTCCTGTTGCCTGCAGGATCAAGATGTAGCTCCTTCTCCTCTCTCAGCTCCACATCTGCCTGCATGCTGCCTTGCTTCCTACCGTGACAATAATGGACTAAACCTCTGAACTGCAAACAAAGCACTCCAATTAAATATTTCTCTTTATAACAGTTGCCATGGTCATGGTATCTCTTCACAGCAATAGGAATTCAAACTAACACATTCCCAAAAGTGTGTGAATGAAAAAGTTTGTATTAGATGCACACTTCTGGCTCATTCCAAAGGCTTTCTTCCTCTTCATGCAAACAGCTGTCTGCAGCTTGCATAGAGGTTCAAAGCTTCTCCTACCTGAGCTTGGTCAGTGGAAAAGTGACAGTGTGAGACCAGAACATCACATCATCAAGTCCTAAGCACACTTGTAGTCACAATGAGCATGGAGCAATGTGTTTGTCCATGCCTCTCCTACTTAGTATCTTTGTGATCTTGAGCAAGTTATTGAAACATCAATGTCTCTGCCTCCTTAGTAGTAAACTGTAGATACAATTGTCCCATTCCTTGGAATTGGCTTATAGTACACACCTACATCTGCAGGAGGACCAGGTTCTAGTTAACTATTCAATCAAGACTCCAAATCCAGATACAACTAAGAGGAAAGTCCTAAACAATCATATGAGTCTGTAACACTCCAGGCACTAACTATAAAAAGCATAGATTTTACCTTGTCCTGGTAGACTGAGCTGGTCTTGAAAACACAGCCCAGGAGGAGTCTAGCTCCTGTTGAAGGTATAAAGACTTCAAGAAGGAGCATGGCTTCACATCTCTTGTCCCCAATATACTAATTAAACATCTTGAGGGTTCATTTCTGTCCAAAGTTGTTTTCACTAGTCAGATGGAGTCTTTCTACCTGGCATTCAGTGTTTTGCTCCACCATCAGACGTCTTGAATGTAGTCATGGTTTTCTGTTTGCATCCTCTGTGGCCTGAAGATACCAGGCCTTAGACTGTGCAGCCACATATAACACAATAGACTTTGAGGCAATGTAGGAGACCAAACTAGATCTTTTTGACTATAGAAAGGTTAGCCATCAATCTCCTTGTCCTACTTTGCTTTCTATTGCTATGATAAATACCATAACCAAAAGAAAATTTGGAGGAGCAAGGGCTTATTTGGCGTTTACTTCAACATTATACTCTTCACTGTGGGAAGCCAGGGCAAGAACTCAAGCAGGAACTTGGAGACAGGGACTGAAACAAAGGCCATGGAGCAATACTGCTTACTGACTTGCTCCCTGCAGCATGCTCAACTTACTTGCTTATACACCTAGAGCCATCTGGCTAAGGGTGGCACCAGCCACAGTGAATAGGGTCTACCCACATTAATCTTAATAAAAACAAAGTCCACACAGACTTGCTCACAGTACAATCTGATGGAGGCAATTCCTCAAGACTCTAGCTCGTATCAAGTTGACAATAAACTAACCAACACACCTCTGTCACTCATCATTCCTGCTGAATTATACTTTGAAGCTGACCACCTTATAAATGCAATTCGGACCTCGCCTGGAACCACAAAGTAGAACCTTGGTTGCTAAAAGGGTGAGGAAGAGGAGGATAAATAAAGATCAAGGCTCTCTAGTACAAACTTGAGAGAGATCTAAGTCTTGAAACCTCTTGTTCAGGATATATGTTTTTATTGCTAGCCTGTGGTTGTCCATCTGGCTGAAAACAGCAATTCTTCAATCTAGATTTATACCTCTGGTGGGCCTTTAGTTCCTATCTCTACAAGATACGCAAATTGTTTGAGAGTTACTTTATTTGTAACAAAGATCTAATAGGTTACTTTTGTGTGGTTCTGTTATGTTCTACTATAGATTTTTTTCAGATAGGATAGTCTGATTTCTATTTCTGGTATTTTTGACATTAAGATTTTCTAAGTTGTGAACTTAGCTCCGAAGTTCATTACCTAGAGAAATTTATCTCTCTAAATTAAAAAAAAAGTAAAACAAAGCTTCCTACCCAAACCACCCAATACTGGGATTTCCACTTTACTGACCCAGCATCCTTGGTTCCTACACACACACACACACACACACACACACACACACACACACACACACACACACACAGGCACAAGTGTGTACACACACATACACAGACATATACATACACACACACTCAGCGCTACTTGTATTGACTCTCTCACCTATTAATATTTAGAGAACTACAATTTGAAAACTACTATACTGAATTTCCCTGAAAGACATGGTAGATAAACTATTTTGAAAGTTAGGTGGACTGTCTGGCAAAGATTTGTCTAGGAAAGAGGGGAACAGGTGGTGTGGACAGCCCTCCATAGCCATGGGTTCCTCCATTCACAAATTCAACCAACTACAGATGGAAAGTATTTTTGTTCTGTCTGCTGAACATGCAAAGATTCTGTCTTGTCATTATTTCCTACATAGCACAGCACACTATGCACAATTTGCTTTGTATTAGATGTTGTATCTAATACAGAAGTGATTGAAAGTACACATAAGTATGTATGTGAGTCATATGCAAACATGTCATTTTAGTAAAGAGACTTGAGCATCCATGGATTTTGGTATCTTAGGAAAATCCAGGAACCAGTCACCTGTAGATAACAGGTGCTTTAAAAGGTTGCTTTAAAAGGTATGACATAGCTCTAAAGAGCTGAGAAGTGATATGGTAAATCTCTCTTTTTGTCTGAATAGGGAATGCTGTAGAATTGACCCAGAGTTAGCAGACCAATTATAGGAGAGGGATGGTGGATTAGAAACCTGAGAGGTTTCTGATTTCACAGAGGTCATGTGAGCCAAGGAGGTGCAGAAGCTACCAGAGGCTGGAGGGGACAAAGCTTGTGTGCTGGAGAGTGAAAAGGGAGACCAACATAGGAGACAAAAAGCAAAAGAAAGTGCCAAACAAGGAAAACCCCTAAGGCTAGCATTCGATGGGAAAATGCCTGGGGCTCTTCTTAGAGGAAGCAATGGTCTCAGGAATTCTACAGTGGAGGGTTTCTCTGTTATATTGACCAACTGTTCCACTTGTCAAAGCCTGACCCACTTTCAAGACTCCCCTAGAATCTGAACCACTGCAGTCATTAGGGGAGTGATCCCCACTACTGCTTCAGCTAGAGTGTTGCAAGCCTTATCTATCTCTGAATGGCTTATCTAAGTCTGTTGGTGGGTGTGTGTACCATAGGTTCCACATCCTTTGGAGGTTTGTCCAGGGGAGGAATATACCACTGAAAGCACAGTTCTTTGTTTTGTGCTTGCACTGCCATTTCTGAGGTGGATTCTGTGTAAGATGGACTGCCAAGGAGCTTCCCAGAGATATCAGACTGCAGAGAACTTTCCCGATGAACCTAGGGAGCAGTAATGACGAGAAACCATGTTAAGTTGCTGATAATGAGCTCATTCAATATTTAAAGTAAATTAACTGACTGCATTTTAAAAATTCTGGGAATTGTCTCAGCTTGCTTTATGGAGGGAGACTTTAAAACTGCCCATAGATTACCATAGAATAAATTCTCATATAATAAACAATGCTTTCAAACCTCCTGAATTCAACAAATGTCTTTTACCCTAGTATAACTTCCAGTGGGGGGGGGGGGATGAAATTTGTTGCCAAGAAATGCCCATTACATTGTTTCTGCTTTAGATAATGATGAGGAAATATCCAGAGTGTGAGCTTCGAACTCCGGGAGCAAAACTGGTTAGTACACGCTACTTGAACACAGCATGTGTTCACAACTTACGATAGTTAGTGGTGGCGCCCTCTGCAAAGGAAGACACTTATTCTTCCCTGAAATGTTAAAGTCCAACTCCCTCATTCCTTCTTTAAATGAATGTGGCTGATTTGTAAGTTCAAGTCCTCCCTGGGACCTGGGTCTAGCTTCTCTAGGAAATTCGGTCAATGGGCCAGCAACACAAATGCAAAGAACAGACATGAGAACATCATCCATTGTTTTAAAGAGGTGCTGAGGTGACTCAGGGAACAGAAGGGGGCTTTTGTTTATCAGGTAAAGAGCAGGCTAGCCAGGGATAGAGCAACACCGACAGCAGAACCTCAAGTCTGGAAAGAAGCATTCATGGAAAGTACACTGTTTTCAACATTAACTTCTTTTAGCTTCCAAGATCACGGCGCAGTAACTGGGAAGTGGCTTTCTTGGCAGTCTCCTGACATCTAAGGCATTCCCGGGATTTGATGGCCAAAGACAACACATCAGTGTCAGAAGCAAGAGTTAGAGGTACCTCTGACCCTTCCATCATGCCTGAGCTTATTCAAGCTTGGACTGTGAGGACAAGTCTTCAAAATGAAAACAGAAATGGGAAAGACCCTTGACCTCAAGGTGTTCACTGGTAAAAGGAGAAAGATGTTTTGATTGAAAGGTAATACTAGGTTTCCTGCTCCACCCACGGAACTAGGGTGCTTGGGGTCTACTGCTGTGTCGTCCATCCCAGCGGCGGGAACCAACGCACCATAGTCTCCTGTTCCACCCACGGTTCCAGGTAAACCAGGGCCCATTTCCAGGCCGCCTGCCGGTGCTTGGGGACTGCCACTGTAGCTTCCATCCCAGAGGCTGGAGGCAAGGAACCCCAGCAGCTTGATCTCCGGCTCTAACCACGGGACCAGGCCGGGTGCCTGTGCTTGGAGTCTACCATTGTGGCTTCCATTCCAGTGTTGGGAACCAAGGCACCATAGTCTCCTGCTCCACCCACAGGACCAGGTAAACCAGGTCCCATTTCCGGACTGCCTGCCTGGACCTGGGCTCTGCCACTGAGGCTTCCATCCTGGCAGGGGCTGCAGGAGCCAAGGTACCGTAGTTTCCTGCTCCACCCACAGAACTAGGACTAGACCTGCTGCAGGTGCTTGGGGACTTTCCCAGAGGCAAGAGCAAACTCACCCCAGCATCCTAGTCTCCTGCTCCACCCCCGTGACTAATACTATCAGGGCCTGTCTCCAGACCACACTCCTGTGCCTGGGGTATACCACTGGGGCTCCCATCTATCCCAGTGGGATCCAAAGCACCGCAGCATCCTAGTCCATTTCTCCACCCACCAGACCAGGAAGGGATTCATAACAGTAAACTTGCCTACACCCACCAGAAGGGAACCCCGGTCCCACACCCACCAGGAGAGGAAGAGGCACCCTCTGGAACCCACTGCAAGAACCAATGGGAAGGAGACAATATAAAAACACAAGGAGCAATAGAAAAACCAATATGACACCGCCAGAGTCCAGAGACCCTACACCAACAAGACTGGAACACCCCAACACAAATGAACCACAAGAGAATGACATAAAAAACAACTTCATGGAAATGATAGAGGCCCTCAAAGAGGATATGAGAAAATCGCTTAAAGAGATGGAAGTAAAAACAATCCAAAAAATTCAAGAAATTGAGCAAAAGACAAAGTAAAAATTTCAAGAAACAATTCAAACAATGAAAGGGCTTAAATCTGAAATAGAAACAATAAAAAAACACAGTCTGAAGGAATGCTGGAAATAGAAAAACTGGGAAAACAGTCAGGAACTATAGATGCAAGCGTAACCAACAGAATAAAAGAGATGGAAGAGAGAATCTCAAGTGTTGAAGATACACTAGGAGAAGTAGATTCATCGACCAAAGAAAACTCTAAGTCCAACAAATCCCTAACACAAAATATGCAGGAAATATGGGACACCGTGAAAAGACCAAACCTAAGAATAATAGGTATAGAAGAAGGTGAAGTAATGTTTCTTTCATGACTGTAGGTGCCTTTGTATTTGGGGCATATATGTTCAAAATTGAGACTTCATCTTGATGTACTTTTCCTTTGATGAATATGAAATGTCCTTCTCCATCTCTTTTGATTGATTTTAATTTGAAGTCTAGTTTGTTAGATATTAGGGTTGCTACACCCGCTTGTTTCTTGGGTCCATTTGATTGGAAAATCTTTTCCCAACCCTTTACTCTGAGGTAACTTCTGTCTTTGATGTTGAGATGTGTTTCTTGTATGCAGCAGAAGGATGGGTTCTGTCTTCGTATCCATTCTGCTAGTCTGTGTCTTTTGATAGGCAAATTGAGACCGTTGACTTCAACACCCCACTCTCACCACTAGACAGGACCACAAGACAGAAAATTAACAAGGATACAAAGGCCCTAATAGATGTTATTAGGTTGGGTTTAACGGACATCTATAGAACAGTCCATCCAAACAAAAAAGAATATACCTTCTCAGCTCCACATGGAACCTTCTCAAAAATCAACCACATACTTGGCAACATAGCAAACCTCAACAGGTACAAAAAAAATTGGAATAACTCCAGCCATCTTATCAGACCATCATGCCTTAAAGTTGGAACTCAACAATAACACAAATCGCAGAAACCATGCAAACTCATGGAAATTGAATAATACACAATTGCACCACTCCTGGGTCAAAGAAGAAATAAAAAAGAAATTAAAGACTTCCTAGAATTCAATGAGAATGAAGACACAACATACCCAAACTTATGGGACACTTTGAAAGCAGTGATAAGAGGAAAGTTCATAGCACTAAGTGCTCACATGAAGAAACTGGAGGATAGTCAAACTAGAGAATTAACAGAACAACTGAAAGCTTGAGAACAAAAGGAAGCAAACTCACCCCAGAGGAGCAGACACCAAGAAATAATTATATTGAGGGCTGAAATCAACAAAGTAGAAACTAGGAAAATCATACAAAGAATCAATGTAACAAAGAGTTTTTCTTTGAGTAAATCAACAAGATAGACAAACCTTTATACAAACTTACCAAACGGCAGAGTATGAACATGCAAATTAAAAAAATCAGAAATGAAAAGGGAGACATAACAATGGACAGTGAAGAAATACAGAGAATCATCAGGTCATATTTTGAAAAAGTTGTACTCCACAAAATTTGAAAATTTAAAGGAAATGGACAATTTTCTGGATAAATATCATTTACCAAAATTAAATCAGGAACAGATAAGCAATCTAAATAGTCGTATAACACCTAAGGAAATAGAAGTAGTCATCAAAAGTCTCGCAACCAATAAAAGCCCGGGCCCAGATGGCTTCAGTGCAGAATTTTACCAGAAATTCAAAGAACAGTTATAACAATTCTCCTCAAAATATTCCATGAAATACAAGCAGAAGGGTCTTTGCCAAACTCTTTTTATGAGGCTTCAATAACATTGATACCCAAGCCACACAAAGGCACAACTAAGAAAGAGAACTTCAGACCAATATCCTGCATGAACATTGATACAAAAATACTCAATAAAATACTGGCAAATCGGATCCAGGAACATATTAGAAAACTCATCCATTGTGATCAAGTAGGCTTCATTCCAGGGATGGCTCAACATACAAAAATCCATCAATGTAATCCACCATATAAACAAACTGAGAAACAAAAATCACATGATCATCTCACTAGATGCTGAAAAAGCCTTTGATAAAATCTAAAACCCCTTCATGATAAAGGTCTTGGAGAGATCTGGGGTAATAGGAACATACCTAAACATCACAAAAGCTATATATAGCAAACCAACAGCCAACATCAAACTGAATGGAGAGAAACTCAAGGCAATTCCTCTAAGATCAGGAACAAGGCAAGACTGTCCTCTCCCCATACCTCTTCAATATTGTACTGGAAGTTCTAGCTAGAGCAATAAGACAACAAAAGGAGATCAAGGGGATACAAATTGGAAAGGAAGAAGTAAAATTTTCACTATTTGCAGATGATATGATAGTTTACATAAGTGACCCAAAAAACTCTACCAGGGAACTCCTACAACTGATAAACACCTTCAGCAAAGTGGCAGGATACAAGATCAACTCAAGAAAATCAGTAGCCCTACTATATACAGACGATTAAAGGGCTGAGAAAGAAATCAGAGAAACATCACCCTTTACAATTGCCACAAACAACATAAAATACCTGGGGGTAATGCTAACCAAACAAGTGAAAGACCTGTATCAAAAGAACTTTGAGTCTTTAAAGAAAGAAATTAAAGAAGACACGAGGAAATTGAAAGATCCACCATGCTCTTGGATAGGTAGTAAAATGTAGTAAAAATGGCAATCTTGCCAAAGCAATCTACAGACTCAATGCAATCCCCATCAAAATCCCAGCACAATTCTTCACAGACCTTGAAAGAACAATTCTCAACTTTATATGGAAAAACAAAAACACCAGAATAGCCAAGACAACCCTGATCAAGAAAGAAACGTCAGGAGGCATCACCATCCCTGACTTCAAGCTATATTATAGAGCTATAGTCCTGAAAACAGCTTGGTATTGGCACAAAAATAGACAGGTAGACCAATGGAATCATTGAAAGCCCTGAGATTAATCCACAAACCTATGAACA